TAACCAATGATATTTTTGCAATATCACGGGATGATCTACAAAAATCAGCCAATTACAATGAAAGCCCGCTATGCTCCATATGCCATACATCGAGACCGTCCAAATATCTGGTTGCTTTTGCATCAACTTGCACAATTCCTGAACATTTCGATGATTTTACCATTTTCGCAGAACGAGCATGTGATTCTATCCAATCAAAACATAAATACGTAAATGTGGTTACATAAAACTTGTATAGAGAAGAAACAAGGTAAATAATATATTTGCGTTCGCCCATATTTCGAGGCATAGTTGATTGAATGTCAAAAAGATGGAAGCTTTTTTGCAAGTGAAATGAAACGGTTAGTATACCTTTGATAATTGATAAACAGATATTTTAATGGCAACATACAAGTCCAGAAGAACCTTCTCACAATACAACTGGAATAATTCATCTCCAGTGTCTGGATTATCCAGAACTGCCTTCTTAAAATCGTTCTTGGATTTCTATAATATGTATGAAATATGCATTTAGATGATGTAAAAAAAAAACAATCCTGAGGATAAATCTTACATTGAGAATATTATCAATATATTTTTCCAGGGTAGGTGTCCAAACAGGTGGGTTGATGGTACGTACAGAGGATAACTCCTCAGCTAATTTCTCACCGATTTCTTTTATCATTTCCTCTTTTGTCATCGTGAATGCACATATTATAGAGATATCTTGGGAGAATCTGTTATCAAAAAAGATGCAGGTACGGGCATTGTTAAAATATATCATATTTGTTACATGTAAAAGTATGAAAGCACTTGAACAATACTTTATTTATTTTAATATTTATAAAGTTTTGATAAGTCAGGGCAAAAAAAAAAAAAGGTGGTTCGGGACAAAAAGTTTTTTGACTGAAACGGCAAACTCACTTATCATTTTTTACTATTTAAAATTTTTCTTTCACGTAATAAACTACCTTACTCATCTTAATGACAAGCTCGATTGATCGATTAAAATTACTTTCCGTTAATTAAAATTTAATTCCCGACACATTTTTGACATACTTTGATCCATTAGATTGAGGCGCTTGAAAACGTCCTAAAAGTCTATTGCTAGTAAGGTAAAGTGATGTTCTTGTAAAGAGTATTTGCTAATGCTTTTATTCCTTTGAAACGAAAAATGTTAGAAAGATTTAGATAAGTTAAAGTGATATTATTGCAAAGTGTATATGATAACGTTTGTACACTAAAAAATGCATACTTATTACCGCTAAGATCTAAGGAAGTCAAAAGTGTAATTTATATAAAGAGCTTCTGATAATGTATTTGCACTATTTAAAGTTATATGATTATTGCTGAGATCTAAAGAAGCCAAATTAACATTTTTTACAGAGAACTTCTAATATTTTGCTCCTTTAGAACTGATCCTATTGTTACAAAGGTTTAAATATTTTAGATTAGTGTTTTTATAAATAAAGAAGTCAAAGTGGTAATTTAATAAGGAACTTTGCGATCACTTTTTCACCTAAAAAACTAAATATATTACGTAAAGAGCTTCTATTATTGCTTTTATTCCTTCGAAACCTAAGTGATTATTACAAAGACTTAAGGAGTTATAGTAGTGTTTTTGAGAAGAACTTCAGCCACTACTTTGCCTTCATAATCGTCAACTCTGTTGCCATTAAGACTCAAGGACTTCAGGAAACCATATTTATAGAGTGTATTTGCAAGTGCTTTTGCACCTTCCAAATTCAAATAATTATACTAAGGTCAAAGGAGGTTAGAGTGGTGTTTTTTATAAAGAGCTTTTACAAATGCTTTTACTTCTTCGTCTTCAAGATTATTATCATAAATTTCCAGAGAAGATATTTTACAAAGTGCCTCTACCAGCAAATTTGCTTCTTTAGGGCCAAGTTTACAATAATATAACCTTACTAAGTTTAAACAAACATTTATACAAGAATTTGATAATGCATTTATATCTTCAAAACTAAATTCAATTTAGAAAAACCTAAGAAAGTGAGTTTTTATAAAGAGTTTCTACTAATGTTTTTAGAATTTTGCCGTCATAATTGAGTTCATATATATTCAAATACATAATTTTTCGCCTGTTTTTAATAGCATTGCAATTAATGAATCTGTAATTACTTGAATCGGAATCACATCATGAATTTTCACATCATGAATTTTCTATTACGAATAAAATAAAATAAAATTCCTCATTGAAATAATTCATTTTTTTAAAATATCGCACTTGAAATATGTAACATAAGATGTATATTTAAATGATAGTTTTGATCCATTTGGAAGTAATATATTAATTGAATTAATGGTGCCTTTTCTTTTTCATTCAATGATAAAAAAGCATATTATTATAATTCTTTCATCTCTGAAATTTGGTTTATTCCATAATATCGGAATAAGAATTCTGCACCATTTACGGTTTACAAGAAGGCATGAAAATAAGTATCAAGAATAATTCCCAAGAAAGTTAAATATTTCAATAAGGCATTCGTTTGGTAAGAATAACATTTTGAATTCATAGCGATAGTTTAAAAACGAAAATACGGAGATTAATTTATGTACCACAGATCAGTTATCGGTTATCTGTCATATATCAGATATATTATACTGGCTCAGCGTCAACTAAATTAACCTGAAAGCTAGCTTGCTTTAGCACTCGAATATGTAATCTTATATTATCGTTATTAAGTTACAATATATGTAACTTCCAATGTAACTTATAGTGTAAGTTACGTTTCCCGATAAGTCCTAGTGCTCCCAAATTAAGTCCTGAATTAGGAGCAAAGAAAACATGCAATTTATTTTTATTTTTATTTTTTTTAATCTTCACAGGTGAGGCCATGCCTCTATTTTTATTAAACTTCAATTAAACTTCTTTACAAATTAAATAAAGAAATTACATTATTTGAACTTTATATCTATAAGATACTAAGACTAG